GCGCCTCGGACACGCAGCGGAGACGGCGTCCTGCTGGAGGACGACGCCCGAGTGTCCACGCCTGGCACGGGAGACACGTGAGAGGCAGCGGTGGCGAGTGGGCGGGCGGCCGCCGCTGCGCCTGACGGAAGGAATGAGCTAGAATGCGGGGTGGGGGCCCCAAAACCGGAGCAGCCCGGTCACTGGACGGATCCCCGTCCTGCGCTCCCCACTCCCGTCCTTCCAGCCCGTGAAGCGGAACCCCATCCCGTCCGCCCTGCCGGGCCCCCCGAAGCCACCGGGAGCCCCCCCAGGTCAGCAGCAGGCGCCTCTGCTTCTCAGGAAGGACCCGTCCCTTCCCCACCTGGGGACCCGGTCACGGCTGTCACAGTCAGCGGAGACGCAGTGCTTGTCACTCTCTAAGGAAGTGACCAGGTGACCGTGCGGGGCTGGGGGTGGGGGGCCCTGGATGCAGTTTCTCGAGGTGACCGTCGGCCAGCGCGTGACATCGAAGGGCCACGTCCGTCCACAGGAACGGGGGAGAAAGCCGCCTTGGCCACGGGGAGAAGTGTCTCCTGATCTCCAGACGGGCGCCCTCAGGGGACAGCGTGCGCCTCCTGTCACGCGGTCCGGGGCGTCTGTCCTGCGTTGGTCCCCGGTTCCTGGTCAGACGCCGCCACCTGCTGGACGGGGCGGCCAGAGTCTCCGCCTCTTGTTTTGTCTGCTTTGCTCTGAATTCTAAGAAACCAGCTGCAGAAAACCGCAGACGGGTTTGTTTTGAGGAGGGTTCAGTTGGATCCATGCAGCTCAGTCACTGTCCGGTGCTGGCGGAAGGTTCCAGAAGCACCGGAGTGTCCCGTGGGCTGTCATGGCGATGAAGCCTTTGCCACACCCTAGGCCATGAGCAAAGCAGTAAAATGACGGCCCCGACCCTCCCTGGACAGTCCCTCTCGGGGGCTGAGACAGCACAGGGGGCGTCCCCAGGTGACCCCCCTGTCACCCAGGGACGTGAGAGGTCATGAAGGGCGGGGCTGGGGGGGTTGTCCCCCCTGGACCCCAGCCCCTGCTCTGGGACGGGGGCCCGGATGGGATCTCACCCCGCAAGCCCTGGCCCCTGCCGTCTGAAGCCCTGGTGGACACGCGGTGCGTCCAGCCCACCCGCCCTCTCTGCCCAGTGGCCGCTCCTCTGCAAGCTCGGGGACTGCACCGTGCTGACCCGTCCCGCACACGGCCCCGTGGCCAAGACGCCCGAGGTCTGGAAAGGATAGTGAGGGACAAGGACGAGGAGGTCCCACGGCCGGGGGACACCACGCGATGGCAGGCGTGCCGGCGGTGACACCGTCTGTGACGGCGGTCTGCACGTGGCGGGGACTCGCATGTCCCGGTGGCTTTGTGATGAGCGTGAAAACGGGGTGGCCGCTGGGAGGGGTGCGGGGGGCAGGGGCCGTCTTTCCCCCGCTGGGAGGGGTGCGGGGGGCCCCCGCGGGGCAGGGCTGTCTCTCCCCGGCTAGCGGGCAGGCAGGCTCGGCCGCGGCAGGAGCGGGTGCTCGGCTTTGGCGGCAGCGGCGCGGCCATTACTCCTGGGTCCTCTGCGAGCTGGCCCTCCGGCTGTCTGCCCCATGGGGCCGCGGGGGACACGGGCGCAGAGGGCTGACGCATGCCTACAGGGCGCCTGCACGCGTGTCAGCTGGCTGAGGGCTCCCTGTGCCCCCACGTGGCCCAGGAACCGGCTGGCCCGCTGCCCGGCACCCCGCAAAGCCCGTCCGTCTGGCTCATGTGGCCCGTCCACGCGGGGGGACACACGCGGGGGGACACGCCTGATTCGTAGCTTCCCAGCCCTGGCACTGTCCTCCAGCTGGCTCGGCACTTTCTGGAGAAGACACGCTCAGTGTGCCGGCTCTGTCACCCTCCCTCCCTCTCTCTTTGTCCCCTCCGCCCCCAAAAGCCGCTTCTGAGCCACGGGCCTCGCAGAGGGGACCAGTGCGGCCGTCAGCCACCGGCGTGCGGCTGGAGTGCAGTGGACACAGCTTCTGCAGGCCTGGCCGGCTCCGTCCGCGTGTGGGAGGCCACCATGATGTCACCATGTGGGTCAGGGCTGAGGGAGGACGGGCCACCGTGGGGGCTGCGCAGTCAGGTGACACAGTGTCTGCACCTGGGGCCCAGTGCAGTGAGGGGCGCAGCAACCTCGGAGCCCCCAGATCTGTCTGGGGTCCACGGAGAGGATGCAAGCTGGACACGGGGCAGGAGCTGGAGTGGGTGTGGCCAGGGTACCCTTGGCGTCCTGCCAGGGCTGGGCCGGGGTCCCTCTGTCTCCCCAGCGACAGAGGGACCATGGGGTGGACTATGGTGGGGATCAGAGACCCCATCACCAGAGGCCAGAGCCAGACCCAAGCAGAGGCTCCGCTCCGGACGGCCAGGGGAGCGGAACCTGGAGCCACAGCCATCAGACGGGAAGATGCCGAGGACGTGACCGCGCCGCGCAGTCACAGTTGAGACGCCATTTCTCCAGGTAGGAGGGCAGAGGTCGGCCCCGGGCAGCGGCTCAGACACGCCTGGCGGCCTGAGCCTGCACTGACCCCACAGCCCAAGCATCACCGCCAGGACCCGCCGGGGCCACTGGGACGTGACGAGCACCGCGCCCCCTCCTCTGCGTCCGAGGCCGAGGGCCACGGCCAGTGCTCGGGCCTGCTGGGCCCGCTGTCACCTCAGGGCCGCTCCACTTATGGTTAGGTGTTGTCCTGTCCTCCGAGACCTCAAGTCGAACACGGGACAATGTCCAACCATAATCGTGACAACCAGTTTTCCACAAATAAGGAAAGAGAATCTTCGAACCCGACCGTCACCAACTGCCTCACGGGTTCACGCGATGCTCCTGCGCCCGGTCGTGCTGTCCCCGGAGAGCCAGGCGTCCACCCCCCGTCACGGCGAGCGGCTGTGGGGCGTGAGGGCGCCTGAGACGGGCAGCTGCCTGGACGTGGCCCGGGGCGGGAGGCTCTGGTGGGACGCACAGTGGGCGCAGCGTCCCCGGCAGAAACCCCGGCACACGTGCGGCCCCAGGTCGGACGTGCCGGTGACGACATGCGAGCGACATGCAGCTGAAGGAGAGGGTGGCCCGTGGGGCTGGGAGGCGTCCGTGCTGGTAAAAGGGTACCTGGCTGGAGTGAGGCACAGTGTCCCGCACACACGCCGAGGACTTGGCTGCGTGCGACGGGGTGAGGGTGGCAGCGAGCAGGACGGACCCCAGCTACGAGTCAGCGGGTGCTTCCCACAGCCCACAGGCCGGTGAGCGTGGGGCTGGCCAGCCTCAGCGGGCCGGTCACAGGGGCCGGTCACAGGGGCCGGTCACAGGGGCTGGCCGCAATAGACTGGTCACAGTAGACCCGTCACAGCAGGCTGGCATGTGCCTGGCAATAGACAAGCCCAGGATCTCCGTGCTTAACTCAGCCAAACTCACGCGTCACCCAGAAAGTGCGCTGTGGGTCTGGGCGGCCACTTCCGGGCCGGGCCTCTGGGGTCCAAGCAGCTTCCACGTGTGGCTCTGTCACCCAGCACGTCACTCCCGTGGTTCCACGGGCCGGAGGCGACGCCTGGTCGCTCTGCCCGCGGCCGGCCCTGCCGGTTCGGCGAGGTGGCGGGCTCTGCCCGTCTGCCCCAGGCCTGGGGTCGTCAGGGTCCCCAACGCCGACGCCGACGGGGCCAGGCGGGGTGTCGAGCACGCCCCTCGCCCTCTCTTCTCATCGTTGTAATTTACGGTTTCGGTCTCAGGACGGATCCGGCTTTCCGCGTAGTTGGCAGTTTAGTCACGGGGCCGGCGTGTGGCCTTCACTTAGCGCTCGCTTGGAAGAAAAGAACTACTTTATTTATTTTACTTTTTCTATGTGTTTATTTTTATTTTTTGTCACCCTGTTAAACCTCTGGCCTTCATGTCTTTGGTTTTTTTTTTTAATCACTCACTAATTAACCTTATTTACTTTTTTCTTTTTACCTTTTCACCCCTTTATGTCGATTTAGTTGTGATCCGTTAAATAAAAAAATTAAACGGTCCCATAAAAGATCCTGTCACGTGGTGTGGACCGCGGATTCCCGTGGGCTTTGCACGGAGACCCCGGCTCGCAGGTCTAGTTCCCGCGAGTCTGTGGCTCACACACGGGCCGCACCCTAATTCAGCCCGCGCAGCCCGCACCATGCGCTCACCTGTCTCAAAGGCGAGGTGCACCTTCTGCTGCGTCCACTGCTCCCCTGGGCCCCGCCGCAGGGAGGCCAGACGTGCGCCGAGGTTCCGAGGCGTCCGGCCCCGTGTCCACAGTGGCCTCTCCAAGCCGTGGGCTTGGGTTTGCTCTATCTACACCCCCAAATTTGGGAAGGACTGGCCAGTGCCCCAAGATTCAGCCCCAGCCTGGTCATCTGATCCTGGTCATCGAAGTGAGTGCATTTGGACACCAGGATGACCCGCCCCAAGAAGGGCCTCCGGTCAGTGCAGGAGGGCCGCGTGCCGGGCCCCAGGCCGGGCAAGCTACCGCCCCGCATCGCACACGGGGAGAGCACCGCCCCGGGAAGGGGCCCCCACTGCCCCGCGGTTCCCCGATCCTCACTTCTTCACGCTTAAAGTGCAGGCGATGACCCCACCTCAGCCGGGCTCTCCAGGGAAAGGGCCCAGTAGGACGCACAGCCACAGAGACAGAGGTTTAGGAGGTCGCTCCGCGGAGCTGGCTCGCGCGCCCAAGGGGCCGGTCGTTCCGAGGCGCGGCGCAGGCAGCAGGCGGGAACTCGGGTAGGAGCTGTCTGGTCCCTCGGGACCTGAGCACTGGGTGGCAGCCACACTCTGAGGCAAAGGCCGGCGCTCACCCTGCGGCCTCTCTGGGACAAGGCCGCGTTTGCTCTGCCGGTCTCTGCCTGACCACCGGATGCGGCCCTGCCACACCACAGAGGTCACTTGTGTCACTTAAAGTCTGCTGACCGTGAGTGACAGTCACAGCTAAAGAACACCTTCACAGTGGCATCTAGGCTGCCGTGTGAACAAACAGCCGAGCACCATGGCCTGGCCGAGCTGACCCTCACACTGTCCGTGGCAGCCCTGTGCTCAGCGGACAGCGCAGTACGAGACTGGAGCGTTTTTCCGCGCGGGGTGGGCTCCGCCTGGCAAACGCGGTCACCACCTGGAATATCGCCTCAGTCCTGGCTGGAGGGGAGGCCGCAGGCCGGCCCCCACACCAGGTCCCGCCGGCCCCCCGCCCCTCCCAGGACCCAGCCGAGGACGCGCCCTGCTCGCTGGCTTTCGGCTCTGGGGTTTTTTGCTTTCCATTTGTTTGTTTCTGTTTCATAGTCTTCGGGGATATATTCATCCTGTTTTAAAAACACTTAAGCGCTGTCACGCTGCCACGGCCGGGCCAGCCCCGGCTCTGATTTATGCTGCTCCCCGACTCCCTCCCCCGCCCACCCTCCCGAGCTCCAAGTTCGCTGTTTTCACTTCTTGCCATTTTTCAAAACTAGCTTCTCGTGACAAACGGTCCCTCCATATGCACTGGGCTCTGTTTGCGCTTTATTCTCATTCGGCCCTTGGGCTGCAGCTTGCGTGGCTTCCCCTTGCTTTGGGGAGATTTGCGTTCAGCCGACTGCATTTCGGTTTTGTGATTTTCTCCATTCTCCCTTTTGAACCTTTATTTCCGTGTTCCCACTTTTTCCGCTCAATGTTTAAAGCTTCTGGGCTTTGACGATTCGCTTCCCTCCATCTTCCGTTCATTTATCGACGTTTCTTTCCGCTATTTCCTTTCGCGGGTCTGTCCGTCTGTCCGTCTGTCTGCTCCGCGTGAAGCTGGGACCGAGCGCTGTGGCGTCCTCGGCCGGGAAGGACGGGGCTCTCGTGCTGACGTGACCCGAATCCCTAGGCTCCTGCACGTTTTCCAGCTTAAATTCCCTCTGCGTTTCTCAGCCGCCCTCCCTCAAACCACGGACATCCCCTCTGACGCGGAGACCCCGACAGAAGCGGACCAGCTGACACGTGTTTCTCAAAGGGGTGCTGGCAGGGCACCCACGCGGCTGTTCCCGCCCGGGGCCGGCTCCGCCGTGTCCCCAGGCCACCTGCATGCATGGGGCGTCTGAGTCCCGCTGAGTCGAGGACCCCGTCTTCCTGTCTGTCCCCACCGAAGCCCCTGCCCACTTGGCCCCCCTCTGCCCCCCTGGGCCCCTTGCCGCCAACTTCAAAGAGAGCCGGCTCGGGGCAAAGAAGCCAGCCCCGCACGTGCCACCACATGGCTGAACCTGGAGGACGTCACGTCCGCCAGGGACAGACGAGCACCGCAGCGTGCCACCCCATGGGGGTCTCAAGAGTCACAGAGCCGAGGAGCAGAGTGGTGGCCGCGGGGGCTGGGGGCGGGGAGCTGGGGGTTATCAGTCACTGGGCAGAGGGTCCGGCCGAGCAGAAGGCCCCAGGAAGGCCCCGTGCTCAGCTGCGCCGTGTCGTGCACACGCGGGAGACGGGGCGGAGTCACGTGGTGTCCCCACCGCGGTTGGCGGCAGGTGGGGGACGGCGTGTCCATTTCCGGGCTTGAGTCTCCTTCCTCCTCCCCACCGTCCTCTGCCCCCCAGCGCTCAGTGTCCAGCAGGCCCGACGCAGGCCTGACCAGGTCGCCGCACACAGCCGGGGCTTCATCCACACGTGGGGGGTACACTGCTCCGCCCCGGACAGTGGGGGCCAGGGGGAGGCTGCCCCTCTGTGCCCCTCACGGCTGAGTGCGTCACGGTGATTCACAGCAAGAAAGGAGCCTGTCCCCAAACCACGGACTTCCAGGGACCTGGGTCTCGATTCTAGCAGCTCCTGTGGCAGAAGCTGTGTCCCCGTGGGCTCCGGGCGGGGGAGGTTACTGCGGCCGCCCCTGAGTGGGCTCCGCCCCTCTCCCATTTAGAAGCCCATTTTCATGGCGCGTGTCACAGCTGGCTGTCCCCCGGGAGGGCACGCCCCTGATCCTGGCTGTCCCTCCAGCAGCAGGAGCTCAGCGAAGGTCTCCGGCCTCCATCTCTCCAAACAAAGCGACCGGCCCGGGGCGGGCAAGCGGGTCTGTTCCCCTCCGGCCGTTTCCACAGGCGAGAGTGGCCGAGCGGCCCAGACATGCTGTCCTCGGCCTGGAACCAAGTGCACTGCGACCCCTGTCCCCGTCCCCGTGACCCGCCGGCAGGCGCACACGGCGACGTGCTGTGTGAACCCACCTCGCGTGCCGGGCTGTCTCCGTCTCTGCGGGTTCAAGAGGGACGAGAGAGAAGATTCGGACCCTCCCCGGGCATTGGCAGATTTTAGCAGGATACAGAAACGAACGGAGGAGAACGTACGCATGTGAGAACTCAGTGTGTGATAAGCCGGCTGTCCCCAAACTCTGTGGCACCAGGAACCGGAGCTCCTGTGAGAATCTAAAGCCTGACGGTCTCAGGCGGGGCCGAGGCGCCGATGCTGGCGCTGGGGGCGGCTGCAGACACAGAGGACGCTTCGCTCACCCGTCCTGCTGGGCGGCTCGGTTCCTAACAGGCCATGGAGGGGACCGGTCCACGGCCCAGGAGTTGGGGACCCTGTGATAAAGGATCCATTAGAGAAAACACGAGGCGTGGGCCAATTTATTTTAGGAAAATTACTTATACTCTGTAACCGAAAAATAATAATTAGTTCTTATTTCATGCCATATATCAAAATAAATTCATAACAGATTCAAGAATGAATTCCAGAATTCACTTAAGAAGTGATTATTTTTCTGGTGAGTAATGGACTTGTCGAGCATAATACACTAAAATAAATTAAAGTGAGAAAAAAGATAGATGGGACGTTAGAAGAATTTTAAATATGTTTATACGCCCTAAATAAAATGTCAAAAAATGATATTCACGTATCAGAAAATAAGGCACTGTCATGTAGAGAAATCTCAAATAAAATCTATCACAGCCTAATCTTGAAAAAGAACAGATACAAACTGACAGTCGGCAGAGGACACAATAAGAAGGGTCGTAAGAAGACGGAGAAACGGTCCGCAGCTGTTCTCGCTCTCGCTGTCCCGCCGGTCAACGCGTCTCCGGGCCGGAGCGGCGACTGAAATGCGCACGGACAGATCTGGCCGCACGGAGAGGTGGTGACGTGCGGCCGCCCCTCCGCTGCGAGGCCGACCCCACCGAGGTGCCGACAGGCGGGTGAACCTCCTTCACGCCCAGCCACGCGAACCTTCGGGTGACGCCGGCCCCGCCACCCGCTCAGCGACCGCGGGAGACACGGCGAGGAAGAGCCCCCGCCCCCCGCCTGAGCGGAGCGGGATGGTTTCTGCGGCAGGTGCTCCGAGCCGCCCCGTTTCCAGCTGTTACACAGCAACAGCGAACGGGGACGCTGTCCATCCGGCTGGGACAGCGTGCGGCCCCCCGACGTGGCACGGCGAGTTTCTGGTGCTCAGAAGTGAGCGGGGCGCCGAGCCAAGTGAACGCAATCGAACATTCCAGACGCTCTCAACCCCGTAAGGAAGCCAAGGGGCAAATGCGGGAGGAGATGCGCGGCTACCTCGGCCGCGGCCGCCTCGAGGCGGTGAGATTACGGGCGCCTTTCGTTGTACTTTACAGGGTGTGTGTTTTTGACTTTCCACGATCAGCATAAATTTCTTTAATAAGCCTAGAGAAAAAAACAAACAAAAGCTTCGTTTCCAAGGCAGAACGGATGACTCAGAGAAACCTTCCTGGCTGTGCGTGTTTCGATCCTCAGTGTCAGACGCCTTCTCTCTCTGAGGACAGTTGCGGACACGGTCACGGCCTTCGTGGTACTTGCCACCGGGCACCACTGTGTGGGGATAAAGGTGTTTGATTTTCTCATAGTTCTGGCCAATATATTCCTCTTTGTTCTGTGCTGATCGGACTCGTGTCTGCCCACATCAGAAACGCTTAATGTCCGAGGCGTCTCTCAAAACGTGTCCACCTCCCTTGCGTCGAAACTTTTTCTTTACCCGAAGCATAACCGTCGAATCCACACTCGGTGCAGGTCTGGTGACTGTCATGTGCTCACGGTGCTTACCCCGCCCACTCCGGCACCGGACTTCTCCCGGCGGACCCGCCCGCTCCGGCGCCACACTCCGGACTCAGTCTCGAGCGTCTGCCCCCCTCACTTTACGCAGTGCGTGTGTCGGCGCGCGCGTGAGCGTGTCACTCCTTTTCATGCTAAATAACATCCCATTGTACGGCTCTGGCACTTTTTTAACACACTTATTAGTTAAAAGACATTTCCGCGTTTCCACTCTGGGCTATTCTGAATAACACTGCTAGGAGCACGTAGGTACGAGAATTCGTGCAGATCTATGTTTTCTTCCAAGAGTTTTACAGTTCTACCCCTGACATTTAGGTCTTCGATCCATTTTGAGTTACTTTTGTGTGAGGTAGAAGCCCCACTTTAGTCACAGACGAGAGAATGAAGTTGGGCCTCCCTCTCACGCAAGAATGAACTCAGCGCACCTATCCCTGGCTGGCACCAAACACTCTCGGTCACTGCACCTTTGTAGCAGATTTTGAAATTGGGATGTGACCCCTCTCGCTCTGCTCTCCCTTTTCAAGGCTGTTTTGATGATTCTGAATTGCTCGCATCCCCTATGAATTTTGGGATCATCTTGTCAATTTCCGCTAAAAAAAGAAAAGCATCGTGATTTCGAGAGGGATCTTGTTGGATGGGCGGATCCACCAGCGTTTCGCTGTCTTAATATCGCGAGCCCCTCGACCCGCGAGCAGGGCGTTTTCCATTTATTTCGATTTCCTTTAACTTCCCGCAGGGATGCTTCACAGTACAAATCTTCAGAGATGTCGCTTGTTTCTGGTTTTGGAACTAGGACCGTTTCCTTAAATCCCACTGCGGCTGGTTGGCTGGCGGTACCTCTGTCTCCGTCTCGTGTCTTAGAACGTCGCCGCCCTCGCCTGCTCATCCCGACCGTTTCGTGCACTTCGTGTGCGTCTTCGGCTGTTCCACACGTGGGGTCACGTCACCCGAAGACGCAGGTTTTCTCCTTCCTTTCCGGTCCGGTTGCCTTTGAGTCTGTGTCTTTTATAAGCGGAGTTTCGTTCCAGTGTTTTAGTCGGTCCTGGTTCAAAGAGGAAGACTGGCCTCCGGCTCACGGGGCTTGTTGTAAAGCCACGTCCCCTAGTGAGAGCTGGGGCAGGTCACACCCCCAGGGTGCTCGCCCGTCCTCGAGCCTGACTCAGTGCGCCCCAGCCTGTCCCCGGCTGACCTCATTTGCAGACTGGGCTTCGCGGCGGGTCCGCCTCCATTTAAGATCTAACATGGAGCCTCTGTCCTGTGACTCGGCAGACGCCTGGCCTCATTCACCGCTGTGCTGGGAGAGCAGCCCGCGTGCCCAGGGCTGCAGTGACATGTGCCCTCGCCGTAGGGGGCTCTGCCCCCGGGGCTGAGACTCCCTCTCCTCATGTGCAGAATCCCTGTCCGGCATCTGCCACGCTGTTTTACAAATTCAAATCAGAGCCCTCCCAGCTGGTCTGGGGATACGGCCGAGCTGCCTCCTGCCCGCACCGTGTGTCCTGCTGGGCACAGTCACCATCCTGGACAGCTCCTGGGGGACCCAGTGCAGAACCCTGCCTGGCCCTGCAGAGGGGGAGACGCTGCCCCAGGCCGGGTGATGCCTCACAGGGCTTTCCAGAGCACAGACCTCTCGCCCCAGGGCCCTGGTGGCAGTGCTCAGGACCTGGGCTGGGGGAGGCGCTAGGGCCAAATGTCATGTCTCGCCCCCAGGCCAGGCCACTCGCATGCCGTGCCCTCCCCTCCCTGCTATCCATCCAGATGGGGAGTCAGTCCTGAAAAGTCACAGTGGCTCTGAGCCCAGAACAAACAGTGGCGGGACGCCAGCCGTGGCCTCTGAGGCCCTGGCCGCGGCACCAGGGGCCGTCCCGAGGGCACGGTGCAGCTGCTCTGCCGTCACCGCCATAAATAACCCGGTAGGGACGCCAGGCGCCGCGCAGGCTCTGGCTCCGGGGAGATTGATGAGCGGGTGTTCCCACGTCCGAGCGCCAGCTGACTCAGCCCCGCTGACCTCTGGGGGGCCAGTGGGTCCCCGCTGGCGGCTGTCGGGAGCTGGAACTGGGTCACCCAGAGGCAGCGGTGGGCGGCTCCCTAGGGCCTCAGGGCCAGCTCGTCATGACGAGCAGCACGTGACGTCCTCCTCCTTCTGCCACGTCCCCCCGACCCCCCC